GCAGGAAAAAAGGAGAAATGAAGAGATATTTCTGTTGTTGTGTGTCTTTTGTTTGGTTTGTTTTTGTTTTGGGGTTATTATGCTTCTACTTTTGTTCTCTTGATTGCTTGCTTTGAATTGTTTGCTTATGTGGGGTGTGTGTGGCAGGGATGGGGGGCACACGGAGGACAAGGAAGTGAACAGAATTGGGGTGCATGATGTGAAACTTGCAAATAGTCAATAAAAAAGTTATTTTAAAAAAGTTTGGTGGAGGCTGGAGAGATGGCTCAGAGCTTAAGAGCAGAGGTCCTGAGTTCAACTTCCAGAAACCACATGGTGGCTCCTGACCATCTATAATGGGATTTGAGGCCTTCTTTTGGCATGCAGATGTAAATGCAAATGGTACCCATATATACATTAAAAAAATCACACTGAAGAAACTGTAAGAAGGTACTAAATAGTTTTTAAAAATTTGTGAGAAATTTTTCTGTTTCTTTGCATGGACAGTGGGTAAAGATTTCAAAACAGGGAACTGGACAGATGGTTCAGTAGGTAAAGGTACTTGACTCCAAGAATGACAACCTGAGTTCAATTCTGAGACCCACATGGTGGAATAGGTTAACAACTCCAGCCAGTTTTCCATTGCCTTCCACACACATCCTAGCATATTCTCTCTCTCTCTCTCATATACAACCACTACGATTTCATATTGAATTTTTTTTCATTTTTTAATGCAGGGACTCAATATCTCTCTCTGTCTCTCTCTGTCTCTCTCTCTCTCTCTCTCTTTCTCTCTCATGCACACACACAAGTAAATAATAAAGATCACTAAAGGCCTGGCATAATGGCACACATCTTTAATCACAGTACTCAGGAGGCAGAGACAGCTGGATTCTTGAGTGTAAAGCCAGCCTGGTCTACACAAAGAGTTTCAGGGCACCCAGGGCTAATCGCAAAAAATTGACTGTAACATGAAGGGCTGGCTTGTTGGGTTTTTTGTACCACCCGGTACCTCACAGCCGGCAAGCCCCAAAGAAAATCACACAGAGATCTCTATAAGTTATAAAACTGATTGGCCCATTAGCTCAGGCTTTCTGTTAACTCTTGTAGCTTATATTAACCCATTATTCTCATCTATGTTAGTCATGTGGTTCAGTACCTTTTCCAGCGGGGCAGGTTACATCTTGCCTCTTTGGAGTCTGGGCAGGAATGGTAGAAGAGCTTCCTCCTTCCCAGAATTCTCCTGTTCTCATTGCACCACCTCTACTTCCTGTCTGGTTTTCCTGCCTATACTTCCTTCCTGGCCAATTAGCATTTATTTAAAATATGATTGACAGAATACAGACAATTCTCCCACACCATTGACAAGATAAGTTAATATAACTTAAGACTACACAAAAAAACTTTTTTTTTGAGAACGTCTTGTGTATCCTGGCTAGCATAGAACTTGCTATGTAGACCAGTCATGCAAAAAATCAGAGGCTTTCTTATGTGATAACAACAAAAATTCTATAAAGATTAGGAAAACAATCACATTCAGAACAGACACATGAGGGAGCAGAGAGATGGTTAAAAGCATTTGCTGCTCTAACAACGAACACAAGTTTTCAGACCCAGAAATCTACCTGCCCTTGCCAGATGGCAAACAACTCTCTTTAATTCTAGCTTTAGGCTGTCTGACCCCACTGACCTCTAAAGATAACTGCACTTCTGCAGTCCACAAAGACACATGCTAAAAAAAAAATCATCTTCAACAAAACCCTGCGTGAATAGACCTAACAAGGAAGCCAAGCTGAGAATCTTATAGGTTGAAGAAGAGAGTTAAAGACAACACTACAGAATGGAAGACCTCATGCTTATGGATTGGCAGAATTAATGTTGTGAAAAATGTGTCCAGAAGCAATCTACAGATTCTCTGCACCTGTATCAAAATTCTAATGGCATTCTTCACAAGTATAAAAAATATTCTGAAAGTTATATGAAATTGTGAGACCACAGGAAATTAAATGAACTCTGAGGAAAAAGCAGCGTACCAGAATAAAATCAGACATGTAAAGCAATGGAGCGGAACAGGGGACTTGGATATACAACCATGTGGCTGCAGCAACCTGACTTTGACAGATGCCACAAAAATATAATGAAGATTCATATTTTCATTCTACAAACTGGTACCGCTTAACTGCATATCTACACTTAGAAGATAGAAACACTTTCGTAGTTGGAGGCTGCTTGTTAGTTCCCAGCTGCCCAGACCCAAAATAATCACACAGAACTCTATTAATTATAATACTGTTTGGCCAATAGCTTAAGCATATTTCTAGTTAGCTCTTACATCTTAAATTAATCCATTTCTATTTTATATTGTGATTTACTGGTAAGGTTGTTGTACATCTTTCTCCTCTGGTGGCTACATGGCATTTCTTCGGCTCCGCCTACTTTCTCCTCCTCTATCTGCTTGGAATTCCTGCCTTGCCTATTCTGTGCTGCAATAGGCCCAAAGCAGCTTCTTTATTAGCCAATGGTATTCACAGCATACAGAGGGGACTCCTACATAACTCTTATCCTGCTTCAAAAAATTAATGTAAGACCTAAAACTCCAAAACTGTTACAGGAAATAGAAGGTAAGCAAGGCAAAGATATTCTTTAAAAAGACCCAGAGCAGACCAAATATTCTAGCCTGGCCTAGGTGCCAGAGGGGACTAGGGAGAGCCCTGCCTGTCCCCACTTCCTTTTGGTTTAGAAGGATGACATTTTTGCATTTGGTCCACTAAGCTTGACAAATCTTTCATAACCTGAAAAATGTGGAAAGTAACTTGTCTTCTGTTAAATCTTGGATGCAAACCCATAAATACACACCCTGAATATTCAGGAAATAATGGCAAATATTAAAATACAGAATTTCGCTAAAAAGTTGCAGTACAAGAAAAGGAACAATTTAGTTAAAAGCCTGAAGAGTAGAAGAAAATCTGTTGATAGAGCATCCATATGTATAGCCAACAGAGGGCTAATAAGCACGCAAACAACTAAATTCATATACAAGCAACGAAACACTGGGCTGGAGAAACAGTTCAAGGGTTAGGAGCACTAATGGTTCTTGCAGAAGACTAAGGTTCAATTTTCAGTACACATGGTAACTTATACTATATGCAGCTCAAGTTCCAGGGTGTCTCATGACCTCTTCTGGCTTCTATGAACTCCTCCACACATGTGCTGCCCATGAACTAACTCTCTCTCTCTCTCTCTCTCTCTCTCTGTGTGTGTGTGTGTGTGTGTGTGTGTGAACACAATGAAAATAAATATCAAGAATTCAAAGAACACCTAAAACAAAAGGGGTTCTGATAAAATGAATAGAATTCTAAGCAAAGAGCTCCAACTAATCAGTAATATATGAAAGTTGCTTCCTCATTCCAACTCTCAAAAACTAGTTACTTTTTAATGTGAAGTTCAACATTTATAGACACACTGTTTTCTGTAATTCTTTCACCCAGTTTATTATACATAAAGAGGATTCGAAAAACCTAGAAAATTTAAAGAACAGAAATGAGATAAGACAGGGTACACAATTACCTTGTAAATTATCTTGTGTTATTGTAAATGAAAAAGTTATAAGATGAAATGAAGTAAGTTTCCTCTGAGTAAATCATATTTACAAAGATTAATTTCATTAACAACCTTTATTTTGATCTTTGTTTTCTCGTCTTGTTTTGGCAGTGGTGGGGATCAAAACTAAGGTAAAAATGTTGGATAAGTGTTCTAAAACTGGATTCTTGCCCTAGCTTTCTTTCTACCTCATAAGTATTTAATATTTGCATACCACTTCACTATTTGCTAGTTATCTACACCAGACATTGCAACAGTAAGTGTTTCCATAACAACAGTGTAGAGAACAAAGAATATCTCCACATTGCATTCTTAATTCTGAAAGTTCCTAGTTGATCATGCTGGCATGTGAGGTATATTTGAAAAGTACAGCCTAATATGCATTTTCTGAGAACCACAAACTTGTTTGAAATGATGGTGCTTTCTCTGTTCATTACTAGGCATCTACTGGGAAAGATCATATACATGCTCCTGGCTTACAGTCAGCAAGGAAATTAGGAGATTTTAAGACATCTGACTGAATGGACTTAAGTATTTCCATCGACATAAGAAAGACAACAGACATGAGCTTTTATATTTAAATAACATGATAAGGCGAAAGCAAACAAGCAAAGATAAATGGCATATGTTCTTAGGGCCTAACCTCACATTGGTAGCAGTATGTTGGACGCTATTTTCTGGTATCATAATTAGGGGCAGCAGTAGTGATGCACTATGATGATCATGTATACAAATATATAAAACTAGCAAGCATGTAGCAGCCCATCACACCCAAATGAAATACACATGGTTTGATGATTTTAACAAACTTTACACCAAGTAACTATGGCAAAGTAACAGTGTAGGCTAGGGTTAATGTTCACCAGTTTGGATGAATTTAACATAAATCATCTTCATCTTTCCCACTTGCCATGATTTAAAGGATGCAATCTTAAGAAACCTAATAAGCACTGGTATTAGTGAAAAATAAAGTTCAATATATTTTAATGAAATACTTAGTAGATAACAAGTAAAATAGGAATAACCAAGTCCTAAAAAAATAATAATTGCAAAAGTAGGAAATTCTCTTCAGTAACTAGGATGAAACAGAAACAAGGAAAAACAGTAACATCCTGGACATCTACCTGATCATTCAAAAATAATCTGAATCATGAAAATGAACAAAATTGCCACCCTTTAAAAGTGAAATTAACTCGTACTCATAAATCACTACTTCCTCTCACTATATCGCAACCTTCCAGGTAAAACCATTATTACAATACAAAAGACAGAACTATATTCAATCACAAAGTACTTTTAATAAATAGGAACCCAAACTACATTAAAGTGTATTCAAGCCATTTAAAACAATTATCAAGCAGGTTAGAAATTGCACCTATTAAGGACTAACACTATCATTAATCACAATTGAAAAGATTCACTAAAATTCATTACATTTTATTGATACCTGGTATGGTCTTGTTCATTTTTTTGTCCAGAGGAACACATCAGCCTAACATACTTTTTGTTTTGCTGAGCAAAGAAACACTTATAATAAAAGTTGAACAATATGAACATAAAAGAAATTTTACATCTTAAAAACCAGTTTCAAACTGATTAACATGGCAATAGGTTTTAACTTTTAAAGATACACAGTTTCAAGCATGGTGTGGCACATCTGTCTGAGTTTGAGATCAGCCTGGTCTCCATAGTGAGTTCCTGGAGAGACAGACCTAGGTAGAGAGATAATTTCTCAATAAAGAAAAGAAAGAACAGTTCAAAAATGGCAATTGGGGCTGGTGATGAGACCCAATGAGTAAAACTGCCTGCTGAGCAAGCCTGGCAGGGAACCAAATCTTGACTATCGTCCACTGAGCTCCACATCTCTACTATGGCACACACACAAATAGACACATACACACAAGCACACACACATAAATAAATAATAAAACATTAAAAACTTTAAAAGAAAATATACACTGAAATTACAAAATATAAAATCTATGTAAAAATGTTACTCTAAGAAAAAAATCTAAGTACGCACCTAAATTTAAGGAAACTGGCAAACAATAATAGCTTTAAAAAGTACATGCCAGAAAATATTAACAATGGACAAAAATATTTTTTCAACTTCACCTGAAACACGACGACTCAAAATATACCTAAAAATTAAGCATACTCGGATGGTTACAAATGCCATCTGAATTTAACAAATCCAATACAGCTTTCTACCAAAGGAAACTGTATTATTATTTGATTTTAAAACTGCCATTAAATTGAAATTCAGTTGATTTACTAAACAGATTTTATCACCAAAACTCAAGTAGTTTCTTAATTCAGGTGTTAGTGTTATTCCTTTATAGAGGTTACTGTTGTTCCTGGCAGTGTCCTGGTGACTTTCAGCTACGGGTTAAAGTTCTTGTTGTGCCCCAGCTTTGCAACCACAAGGAAAACAGGCAGGTAGAAAGAATCATGTCAAAGTTATTTTACTTGCCAAACCATACTTTAAAAGCTTTTTTTTATTAAATCAAGAGGTCTTGTATGTACATAAGAAAGGAACAAAAATTACAATATTTAATTTTTAGTGTATTTCAGGTTTTCAGTAATATTCTACCAAAAACTGCTTCTAGGCTTTCACGTTTCTTGCTTGTACAATGATCAACTACATGAGAAAATTTAATGACTCTTATCTGAAACAAACTTTACTCAATGTTGCAATCCTCTAAGCCCTAATGTTGGAATAAAAGGCATGTATCAACACATCTGGTACAACAACAGATTGTATCCTATGTACGCTTGCTATGGAAGTGAAAATTATACAGCTACTGATCTCATATCCTCTTGCTTTCTCTCCACACATCCTTTATTCCTTGCAAGCTGGCTACGAAGACGCTCATGTGATTTACATTGGTATAAATTCTATCCACTGGATTTCTTCTCGTTGTGAATTCTTTCATGTTGGTGAAGGTATGTCGAACATGTGAATGCTTTCCCACATTGTTCACATACATATGGCTTCTCTCCAGTGTGGTTTCTTTCATGGATTTGAAGGGATTTTGAAAAAGTGAATGCATGCCCACACTGCACACAAACATATGGTTTCTCTCCAGTGTGAATCCTTTCGTGATTGTAACAAGCTCTATGCTGGATGAAGGCTTTCCCACATTGCTTACATGAATACGGTTTCTCTCCAGTGTGAATTCTTTCATGTTTGTGAAGGTATGTGGAACACGTAAATGCTTTCCCACATTGCTTACAAACATAGGGTTTTTCTCCAGTGTGAATCCTTTCATGAATGTAACAGGCACTGGAATAAGTGAAAGCTTTTCCACAATGTTTACATGAGTAAGGTTTCTCTCCGGTGTGAATTCTTTCATGGATTAGAAGCTGAGAGGAACGAATGAAGGCTTTCCCACACTGTTTGCAAACATAGTGTTTCTCTCCAGTGTGAGTTCTTTCATGATTGTTACGGGTTGTGGGATCACTGAATGCTTTTCCACAATGCTTACATAAATAAGGCTTCTCTCCAGTGTGAATTCTTTCATGCTTACGAAGGTATGAGGAACGTCCAAATACTTTCCCACACTGCTTACATGCATAAAGTTTTTCTCGGGTGTGACTCCTTTCATGTTGGAGAAGGTGGTAAGAATGAATACACGCTTTCCCACACTGTTTACACACATAAGGTCTGTCTCCAGTGTGAGTTCGTTCATGATTATAACAGGCCCTTGGATGGATGAAAGCTTTTCTACAATACTTACATGCAAAAGTCTTCTCTCTAGGATGACTTTTATGATGTTTGATAAGGTGACTAGAATTAGTGAAGGCTTCACCACACTGCTTACACACAAAAGTCTTTTCTCCAGTTTGGAGTTTTTCATAAGACTGAACATAGCTGCACGCCATGAGAGCTGCTTCAAACTGCTTATATTCAAGGACATTATCTCCACTACGCGTTGCTTGAGAATCCTGAGCAGAAGCAAGACTCCTCCAGTGTTCATTAGACAGTTTATTTTCACAGGGTTTCTCTCTGGAAGGATTCTCAAGGGTAAGAAAGGACTCGGAATATGTAAAATCTTTCCAATGTTTCTTATGTTTAAAAGATTTTTCCTTATGTTCCTGATACTCATATGGTTTCCCTACAGTTGGATCGCTGTGATTCACATCTGATTGTGAAAGACCAATGGCATCATTTGCACACACACTGCTTTCACAGACTGCTATTCCAGGAGGCATGTCCTCATTACCAACAGGCTCTCGAATCTGTCGGTGGGTTTCTCCATACTGAATACCACATTCAGATTCATAGAATCCTTTAACCACATGAGTGCTGCCAAAAATGAAAAGAATATTACTATAGTTTTATGGCTAGCCAAGAGAGATATTGGAGGCTGGGTATTGAAATGCACACTTGTTACTGCAGTATTTAGAAGGCAAAGGGACTACAAGTTCAAAGCTAACATAACCCACACAAAAAGAGCTCATCCTAGGGGAAAAAAAGAGTTGTTACTATTGCCACAAGAATTTATGCCTAAAAGGATTGAACATTGAGCCATAGGCCCTGAGAAAGACATAATTTTCTTAGTTTCTCTAATAACATTTTGTCTCCTAAAACAACTCACATGATTACAAAAAAATGGTGTAAAATCACTGCAGATACATAGTAATTTGCTTAGCCCATGTTACATTTTGTTCTTTAACTATTCCTATTTCATGGTTGGCTCATATCTGACAAACATGGTCTTTGCCAAAGTTACCAATGTTGAATAGTCCTGATGCAAAATGGTGTGGGTCAGGCTTTATGGAATTGGGATAGCTGAACATTTTTTTAAAGATTTATTTATTTATTGTGTGGTGTGGGAGAATTATCTGTATTCTGTCAATCATGTATTTTAATAATACGTTGATTGGCCAGGCAGGAAGTATAGGCGGGAAAACCAGACAGGAAGTAGAGGTGATGCAATGAGAACAGGAGAATTCTGGGAAGCAGGAAGCTCCCTCCGCCATTCCTGCACAGACCATCGAAGAGGCAGGATGTAACCTGCCCAGCTGAGAAAGGTACTGAGCCTTGTGGCTAACGTAGATAAGGATAATGGGGTAACAAAAGTTATAAGAGCTAATAAGTAGCCTGACCTAATGGGCCAATCAGTTGTATAACTTATAGAGATCTCTATGTGATTGATTTTCTCTGGGACTTGTCGGCTGTGGGGTACTGGGCAGGAACAGAAACCCCACCAAGCCGGCCCCTCATGCTACAATTGTGTATACAGTATACTGCCTGCATGCATGCCTGCAAGTCAGAAGAGGGCACCAGACCTCATTACAGATGGTTGTGAGCCACCATGTGGTTGCTGGGAATTGAACTCAGGACCTTTAGAAGAGCAGGTAGTGCTCTTAACCACTGAGCCATCTCTCCAGTCCAATAGCTGAGTATTTTTAACATAGTTTTTGAAGCTATGTTACAATGTATCCCAAACACACTTTTATTCACATATGTCTTATATTCAAAGTCTAAAGGTAACTTGAAAAAATATATTAAATAATTTTGTGCACACAGTAAAGTTTTCTTATAACGAAAGAATTGTAAAAAAAAAAGTCTCAGCTTAGGTTGCATGATATTGTGGAATATTACATTACAAAGTTGGGATCCTTCCATTCTGAATGATCAAGTTCAATGAACTTTCAGATTAAATCAATTTACATTTAGCTGTACTTGGATTATTTACTTGGGTACAAGATTTCCTACCACTTTCAAGTATTTAATAAAAATTCATTTTTTTGTTGAGTGTAAATTACCTCAGATTTCTCCTAATACTTTGGTAATCCTCTCCAATACTTTCTTCCTCTGTTTTCCCTGAAAGGTAAACCCAAGAAAAGTTTTATTCAATATTACATTAAAAATCATTACAGTCTAGCCTCCCATCCCCATGGTAAAATGTAAAAAATCATACAAATAGTCAATAATATCTTTCCTTTCAATATTTCAAATGAGACAACTATACAGAAGAGAAAGAAACAGTTACTTTTGTGAATGAACAAGGAAAATAATTATGTTGTATTTTTTTTACCTATGGAGATCAGGTTGCTAAAGGTTTCCTTCATCACATCTCTGTAGAGCTCCTTTTGATAAGAATCTAACAAAGCCCATTCTCCTAGAGTGAAGTTCACAGTCACATCTTCAAAGGTCACTGGCTCCTGAAAGAATCCACAGACACTTAGAAGAGTAATGCTGAGAAAACACGGGAGATCCAGAGTGCCTTGATTCCTTCATTTCATGCCTGTTCGTCATCTGTTCCTTATATATCATGATTGGCACTACATCTCACTAGTTACAAACAGTGAATACACACTTAGTATTAATTCTAACTCATGCACTGTAGCACAATTCTCAGGCCCATATGGAACTGCATGATAAGTGAACAACACAACAGCAAGACCTCTTGTGGAGCTTGCCTCGATACTCTTTGTACACTGCATCTTTAGTAATTTGGAACCCACCAGATTTAGACACGTCTACTTGTCAATAGAATCTAATTATGAAGCCTGAGGACACCCACTGGAATACAAACAATTAGCTTAATGGTAAAGGGGGAATCACTGCCATGCAATGCTGTATAGTATTCTATATATTCCTAGTATCTTTCCAAGTTTTTACCTATTTCTGACATATGAAGAGATTGAAACCCCAATGAAACTTGGATGAATTCTCTCTTATCAAGACGTTGAATTTGCCCAGGCATGGTGGTACACATATTAATTCTAACACAAAGGAGGTAGGGGCGGATGGATCTCTGTGAATTGAAGGCTAGTCTAGCCTAAGTAGCAAATTCAAGGACAGACAGAGTTACACAGACAGTGAGACTCTGACTCGATAAAAGAAAAAAACTATGGATGTCAGCCTCAAACAGAACATTTTAACCAATTCCCCCTCCCATGTCCAAGGCTAAGGGGACATCATAAAAGAGGTATATGTTTAGAAAAATCTAACATGACTAAAAGTTTGACTATTATAGATGATTATCTATTAATCTGAATTTCTTAATTACACATTACATTTTAAATAAGTTGCACAAACATAATACCTTAAACAAGAGCAGAAATATATATATACACAGTATAACAAAATCAATCTTAAATATGTATCAACAGACCAAGATTCATATCAATGCAAAGTATTCATCTCTACATCCTATCTCCCTTTTGATGAAAATAAATATTTATAGACAATCATTTTGGAAATTTGGATGTTGCTTTCTCCATACTGATTCCAGTTGTTTGTTGGGCAAAGTATTTTAGGGTTCACAGAGACATTCTGGGGGCTCTTGTTCCATCAAACTACATTAGTTTGGAAGGAACCCACAGGTTCTCATCTTCTGTGAAAGCAAAAGCAGAACCTCTTTTCCAAAGTAACAATCCTTAGACCCAAACATACCTTTATGTTGGTTTACCTTAGCAGTCCTCAAAATCAAATGTATTTTTTCAGTCAAAAAATTCAAAGAAAACACAATAATATACATAATCCAAACTCTCTTTGTATATTCCATCTTTACGGCTCAATTTTCTTTACTTCTTTCATCTATGACTGTAGTCTTTTACATTACTTTTACTGTCCCTTTAAAAACTTTGTTTTATTTATACCTTTTTCTTTCTGTCTCCCAAGCCTACATATATTTTTTAAACACACTGTGTCTCATTTAAGAGGTCTTTTATGTCTGAACCTGTCCTGTTGTGTATCTGAAATCCTTTTCTGATAAGTAGTATTTTAAAATGGTTAGCAGTATGGTCTCAGCAGCCCTGGATGCTGGCTCTGCTTCTCCCAGCCTTTTAATATGGCAGAGGTATGTTCACCGCCTCTGAGAGCCGTGCTCACTGCCCTAGCTCCAGGGATACAGCGGGTCTATGTTACCATTAAGCAACTTGCAGTACTCAGCTCACAAACCCCATTTAAGTGTTATGTAGATGAACCTCCTTGAAAGAACCAGAGCTGTTTGTGCAACTAGCATGAACCAGGAAACCTTGTTAAAGGAGCTGCATCTCTGTTTGTGCCCAGCAAACAGAGCCTATCTGAAAAAAAAAAAATGCTGCTACCAAGAAGCTGCGCTTGGCTCCCATTTTTGTGGGTCTAGAAGGCCTCTTTCTGTTCTTAAGCTTTTTTTTTTCATTTGTTCATTGAACATTCTCCAAAAATGACCGTATCTCGGACACAAAGCACATCTCAACAGGTACAGGAAAGTTGAAATAACTCCTTGCAACCCTATCAAACATATCAACAAGAGAAACAATTGAAATGTTATAAACTTATGGAAATTCAACAGCTCTCTACAGATAGAAAAATGAGTCAAGACAGAAAAAGAAATTAAAGACCTTCTAGAATTGAGTGAAATTGGATACACAACATACCTGAAGTTATGGGACACATTAGAGGTGGTTCAAACAGGCAAGTTCATCGTGCTAAGTGCCTACATAAAAACCTTGAATAGATCTCAAACTAGTAACTTATCAGCACACCAAAAAAAAAAAAATCACTTAGAGATAATCAAATTCTGAAAACAATAAACAAACAACAATTTCCTTGAAAAAAAAAACAAAAAGCATCAATAAATCCGAGAGTTAGTTGTAACAGTACTTTTTCATTAGGACTGCCAGCCCACAAATAATGACAGAAATTTAATTATGAAAGCTTGACCTCAGCTTAGGCTTCTTTTTAACTAGTTTCACAACTTAAATTAACCCACATTTTGAATCTATGTTCTTTCACGTAGGTTGTTACCTCATCTCCGTGTTGCCCATCCTGCTTCCTTCCACATCTAGTTTGTGACTCTGCCTTTTTGCTTCCCAGAGTTCTCTCTTTGCCTGGAAGTCCCATCTATACTCACTCTCCTGTCTAGCTATTGGTCATTCAGTTTTATAAAAAAAAAAAAAAAAAAACACTGAATCAATAACAACAATACATCTTCATACAGTTGGTTCTTTGAGAAAAATCAGTAAGATTGACAAATCCTCATCCAAACTAAGTAAAAAGCAGAGAGATGATCCAAATAAACAAAATTAGATACGAGATGAGGATATAACAACAGACATTGAAGAAATCCAGAAAATCATAAGGACATACTTTAAGAAACCTGTACTCCACCGAATTGGAACATCTGAAAGTGGATACTTTTCTGGATATATACCAGAATTTAACTTACCAAAATTAAATCAAGATGAGATAAGCAATTTAAGAAGGCAAATAACCCCTATTGAAATAGCAGCCATCATTAAAAGTCTCCCAAACAAACAAAGAAACAAGGAAACAGCCAAGCCCTGGTGATTTGGTAAAGAATTCTACTAGACCTTAAAAGCAGAATTAAAGCCAATGATCCTCCAATTACTCCACAAAACAGAGACAAAAGGAACACTGCCTAATTCTTTTTAATATGTTACAGTTATCCTGATACCTAAACCTTTTGAAGTCCCAATAAAGAAAGAGAATTACCGACCAATTTCCCTTATGAAAATAGGTGCAAAAATTCTCAACAAAGTACTTGCAAACCAAATCAGAGAACACATTTGAAAAATCATCCACCAGGAGCATGTGGTCTTCAGACCAGAGATGCAGGGATGGTTCAAAATACATAAATCAATAAATGCAACCCACCATATAAACAAACTTAAAGGCAAAAACCCCATGATCATCTCATTAGATGCAGAAATGGACTCTAAAAAAATCCAATACCCCTTCATGATGACATTACTAGAGATTAGGGATTGAAGAAAAATCCTTCAAGATAATAAAGGTGGCCCCACCTTCCAACACTGCAGCCACATTAGCTAGCCAGCAGGCAAGGTTCCTACAGGCAGACCATCCCACCATCACCCCCATCAGACCCTGTAATCTACAAGTCATACTCTGACCCCCAAACCTACCCATCCTCTGTGACCTCAGCAGCTCCCTGAGACATAGACACACTTGTATAGATTGGACTAAGAGGTAAGTGACTGGTCTCCCAGCTAGAGAGCCCAGTCTTTAAGTCCTAAGCCCGAGGGCACAACTCATGCCCCTCCCCCAGCCATTGCAGCTCCTCTAGCCAGTCAGCAGGCAAGGCTCCCTTAGAAAGGCCACTCCACCCATTCCGAATTTGACCCTGTAATCTACAAGCCTCACTCTGTCCAGTGGGAAGTAGCCTTGAACTCATTGGCACAGGAGACCACTTCCTAAATATAACACCAACAGCACAGATACTGAGAGCAACAATTAATAAATGTGACCTGAAACTGGAAAGCTTCTGTAAGGCAAAGTACATGGCAAATAAGATAAAACAACAGCCTACAGAATGAGAAAAAAATCTTCACTTCACCAACACCACAACTGACAGAGGAACTGATTTCTAAAACATATAAAGAACCCAAAAAACTAGACATCAAAATACCAAATAATCCAATTAAAAAATTATATACAGATCTAAAGAGAATTCTCAGTAAAAGAATCTCAAATGGCCGATAGACATTTAAGGAATGTTCAAAATTCTTAATCATCAGGGAAAAGCAAATCAAAATGACTCTGAGATACCATCATACACCTGTCATAATGGCTAAGATCAAAAACACTAATAAAAGCTCATGCTGAAGAGGATGTGGAGTTCGGGGAATACTCCTCCATTGCTGGAAGGAGTACAAACTTGTACAGTCACTTTGGAAATCAGTATGGCAGTTTCTTGGAAAATTGGGAATCAATCTAACTCAAGACCCAGTGATACCCCTCTTGGGCATGTACCCAAAGGATGCCCAATTATACTACAAGGACACTTGCTCAGCTATGTTCATAGCATTATTCATAATAGAACCTAGAAACGACCTAGATGCCCCTCATAACTGAAGAATTGATATGGAAAATATGGTACATTTACACAATGGAATATTACTTAGCTATGAAAAAAACAATGTCATCATGAAACTTGTAGGCAAATAGATGGAACTAGAAAAAATCATCCTGAGTAAGACAACCCAAACTCAGAAAGACAAACACTCATAAATGGATATTAGATGTAAAGCAAAGGATAACCAAACTACAATCTACAGCTCCAGAGAAGCTAGGTAACAAGGACCCTAAAGAGGGACACATGAATCACTCTGGAAAGGGGAAATAGATGAGATCTCCTGGGAAAACTAGAGGTGGGGTGGGTGGCGTTAGAGGGGAGGAGATTAGGGATGAGAATACGAGGAAATGGGATGGTCGAGTTGGGAGAGAGATGGAGTGGAAGAACAATGAAAAAGAGATATCTTGATAGAGGGAGCTATTGTTGGGTTAGGGAGAAACTGGTGCTAGGGAAATCCCCAGGAATCCATAAAGACGATCCCAGCTAAGACTCCTAGCAATAGTGGAGAGGGTGCCTGAACTGGTCTTCCCCTGTAAAAAGATTGGTGATTACCCTAACTGTCATCATAGAGCCTTCATCCAGTTATCTGATGGAAGAAGATGCAGAGATGCACAACCAAGTACTGGACCAAGCTCCGAGAGTCCCTTCAAAGAGAGAGAGGGAATATATGAGCAAGGAGGGTCAAGACTGCGATGTGGCAATCTACAGAGACACTTGAACCAAGTTTCTGGAAACTCACAATGTCTGGACTGTATGGGTCCTAACTACTTCCTCTCCATGCAGGTGACAGTTGTGTAGTTTGGTCCGTTTGAAGCACCCCTGGCAATGGGATCAGGATCTACCCCTGGTGTATGAGCTGGCTTTTGGGGACCCATTCCCTGTGGTGGGATGTCTTGCACAGCCTTGATGCAGGGAGAAGGGGCTTGGTCCTGCCTCAACTTAATGTGCCAGACTTTGCTGATTCCCCATGGGAGGGTTACCCTTTCAGAGGAGTGGATGGGGGAAGTGTGGCTGTCATGTAAAAGAAAGAAAAAAATAATAATAAAGTAGTTTACAGCAAGCCCAAGACCAATCTCAACTTAAATGGTGTGGAACTCAAAGGAATTCCACTAAAATCAGAAACAAAATAAAGTTGTCCACTATCTCCTGACCTATTCAATATAGTACTTGAAGGTAAAGCTAGAGCAATAAGATAACTACAGGTGTCCAAGGGGATACATGTTGGAGAGGAAGAAGTCCAAGTATCTATCTGCAGATAGTATGATAGTATAAATAAGTAACTCTAAAAGTTCCACCAGGGCACTCCTACAGCTCATAAACACTTACAGTAAAGTAGTTGAATACAAAATCAACTCACAAAAGTCAGTAGCCCTCCTATATACAAATAAAAAATTGACTAAGAAAGAAACCAAGGAAACAACACCCTTCATAAAGGTCTCAAATAATATAAAGTATCTCTGGGTAACTCTAACCAAATACGTGAAAGACTTATATGATAAAATCTGTAATTGAAGAAGATATTAGACGTTGGAATGGTCTCCCATGCTCATGGATCAGTAGAATTCAAGATGGTCATCATACCAAAAGAAACCTACAGATTCAATAGAATCCCCATCAAAGTTCAACACAACTATTTACAGATCTTCAAAGGACAATTCTCAACTTCATATGGAAACACAAAAAAACCCAGAGTAGCTAAAATAATTCTGAACAATAAAAACTGCAGGAGGTATCACTACTCCCAATTTCAAGTTGTACTGCAAAGCTGTAGTAATAAAAACAACAAAATAGTTCGACAGACTTGCTGATCAATGAAATTACACTGATGGCCCCATCATAAACCCACACAAATGGACATGTTTTGGTTTTTTGTTTGTTTTTTTTGTTTTTTTATAAATAAGCCAGAAATACACATTGGGGGAAAAAGCATCTTCAACAAATAATGCTTGTTAAGATGGAAGGCTTCATGTAGAAGGATCCAAATATACTCTTAGTTATCACACCGCACAAAATTCAATTCCCAGTGGATCAAAGTTCTCAACTTAAAATCAGATACACTGGGGGCTGGAGAGATGGGTCGAGGTTAAGAGCACTGCCTGCTCTTCCAGAGGTCCTGAGTTCAATTTCCAGTAACCACATGGTGGCTCACAGCCATCTATAATGAGATCTGGTGCCCTCTTCTGGCATGCAACCATACATGGAAGGAATGTTGTATAAAATAAATAAATCTTTTTTAAAAAAATCAGATACACTAAACCTGATAGAAGAAAAAGTGAGAAATAACTTTGAACTCATTGACATAGGAAAAAAAAACTTTCTGAACAGACACCATTAGCACAGGCACAACTAATATATGGAATTTCGTGAAACCGAGAAGCTTTTAATACCATCATTCCGACAATTCTCTATCTTTGGGTATCAGAAAAGATTTTTACCAACTCCACATTTGATAGGGAACTAATATCCAAAATACATAAAGTACTCAAAAAACTAGGTATCAAGAAAACAACCCAACTAAAAATTGGGTAAAGCTCAAAACAGAGAAAACCCAAAGCTGAGAAACATTTAAAGAAATAGTCAACATCTACAGCCATTGCAGAAATGTAAATCAAAACTAATTTGATATTCTATCTTACACTTCTCAAAAAGACTAAAATCAAGAGAAGTGACAGCTCATGTTGGAGAAGACATGGAGTAAGGGGAACAATCACCCATTGCTGGTGGGTTGGCAAACTTGTACAGTCACTGTGGAAAAAGTGTGGCAGTTCCTCTTTTGGGCATATACTCAATGGATGCTGTACACAAGTGCAAAGGATACTTGCTCAACCATGTTTATTGCTGCTCTATTCGTAACAGTCAAAAATTCTAAACAACTTAGGCATCCATCAACAAAAGAATGGATAAAAAGAATTGTGGTACATTGACAAAATGGAATATTATTCAATGGTTAAGAAAAAAAAGAAACAATGAAATTCACAGGCAAATGGATGGAACTAGAAAAAACAATTCTGAGTGAGTTATTCCAGACCTAGAAAGAGATAACTGATCAGTGCCTTGCTTAGCCGTCATTGGAAGAGTTTCCTCCGGCAGCATGTGGGAACAAATAGACCCACAGCCAGGTATTATTCAGAGAATGCGACCTTGGAACATTCAGCCCTAAATGAAATGTTTGCATAAAATCCTTCCCCCAGAATTGAGAGTGCCCCTTTGAAGAGGAGGCAGAAAGAGCTTAGAACCCAATGGGAATGGAGAACCCCAAGGAAACAAGACCCTCTAAAATCAACCCGAGCAAAGCTCATATGAACTCAGAGACTGGAGCAGCAGGTACAGGGCCTGAACAGGTCTGCACTAGGTCGTCTGTCCATATATTATGGCTTCCAGTTTAGTTCTCTCCCCCCCCACCCAACATAGGGTTTATTTGGTTGCCTTAGTTGTCTTAGAACTAGCTCTGTAGACCAGGCTGGTCCCAAACACGGAAACCCTCTGCCTCTGACTCCGGGTGTGTGACTGGGTGGGACTACAATTCCTGTGCTTTCTCTTGGGCTCTTTCTCTCCTGTTTATTTCGTCCAATTCAGATGCATTAATTTTTGTTTTATCTTACTTTATTGTTATATCTTAGACACCTGTTTGTTTTCTAATGAGAGACAAAAAGGGAGTAGATTTGGATGGAAGGGGGAGGGGGAGGATCTGGAAGGGGGCAGAGGGAAGAGAAACCATAATCAGGATAAATCGTGCCTGGGGGGAATCTATTTTTAATGCAAGTGGGAAAAAAAAAGACAGTAGCAAAAGGTATGTTTTTAGCTACAAGTGTTGATATGCAAAATAGGGGCTGAAAAAAGCTGTGTGAGGATTATTATATGGAAGAGGCCAGTCTGCAAAGGACGATCAGAAGCCCTTTGTTATTGGGACTTTCACTAAGGTACAGAGCACACACAAGGAAAGCACCTGGTATACACATTAGGGGGAGGCCGTCATTCCGCAAATGTTTCACAGTGTCCTGGACTGCAATGTCTCATGCCAATATTTAAAGCTTGCCTGACCTGTTGGGTTTTCTTTTCCACCTCAAACTCTATTAAATTGTCCTCTGGTTTCCCTCTAGGTCCATCTTTATTTTATTTTTTAAATTAAAGAGACAAAAGGGCCAAAAAGAAGTAATCTCAGCTTCCAAGGAGACACATTGAGAACCCAGAAACATGTGAAATAAAGAATTCAACTTAATGATGCAAATACAAGGTCTTGGGAAAAGAACAAGTCAGATCCAAAAGCAAAGACAGCAAGACATGGAAACGATATGGTGAGAAATTGATGAAATAGAAACTCAAAGTCTAATACAGTCAAACTCTATGTCACAGGTGGCTCTTGTAAAAAAAAAGAAAAGAAAAGAAAAAAGAAAAGGAAAAGTAAGACAGGCAAAACTCAAGTCAAGCTACTAAAATAAGTTATATATTAGAGAAGGTTACAAGAGAGTCCAGTGGATTGCAGAGGACCAACTGATAATATCTGAACACACACTAAACAGAGAAAGAAAAGAAAAGGCATTATGTGTGAAATTAAGTGGCTAAACTCTAAGTGACATACAACATGCTAAAATTAAATCAAGAGGATATAAACAACTTAAGCAGATTAATAATGAACAATGAGACTGGAAAATACACAGCAAAAACTCCCAACTCACAATTCCTTCTGCTTGTTCAAAACTAGAGAAAACAGACACTTTTTTCTTGTACATTTAAATTATTAAATTATTTTAATTATTTTATTAAATTATTTCCCTCCATTTCATGCTTTTTTTCCACAGTCAGTAATGCTGGAAACATTTCCCAAAATATTTACTTTTGCCTAGACAGTTAACAATTTTGCCAAATTGACGGGTGAAAACAAACAATTTTGAAACAAACTGAAATTTTCCTCTTCCTTGAAAGCCTGGGTATTTTCTCCCACTGTCAGCCAGAGGGAGCAAACAAATCCTTCTGCATTAACAAATAAACAAACAGCAAAAACCAGAATGCGGGACAGGGTTAAAGTTTAGAGAGGTAAAAAGGGTTGCCTAGAATGAGCAAGGTCTGAGGTTCAACGCCCAGTGCTTTTAAAAAGGGTAACAGAGCTGTCACTAAAGTCCCTTCCCAGCAGTCTGAATTCCAGAGAGCATCAGCACCAACTCGTCAGTGATGCAGTGTTTGGAGAGGCGCGGTCTCACCCGGGAGCACTGAGGACTGGAAGACGCAGCTTCAGTAGGGCAGGCAGTGCAGGGGAGGGCCGGACCGAGGGACCTCATCTAGGCTCCCCGCTGCACACTCAATTAAAATGCACATGGGTTTGAGGGCGGTGGTGACAGACTCCCACCTCGGACTCTGCAGCACAGCGCCAGGGGAACGTCAGGGCTGCGGCGCCACATTGTGACAAAGCCTCTGCAGTGTCACAAAACCGCCACGCACGACTCCAGGAGTCCAGGGTACACTCACCATTTCCTGCTTTTGGGCGTGAGCAGGTGTCCTTTCTAAAGGGCCTGCAGAGTAGCAGAAGGCGCCACCGCCCAAGACAATCCACCACTGGCCTCCCTGCAGCTACACAGGACTCAAACAGGGCGGCAATGGCGACACCCTCTGACTGTCCGTGCTCTTCATTGGACAGATCGTGCAAGAGAGTAACAGCGTCTATGATTGGTGAATGATAGCGACTCGCCTCCTTAAGTCGGACGGCACATCGGGTTTTTTTTTCCTGTTCAAAAGGAGCTCAACTGACCAACTAACCTATTTCTGACTTCTTTTCCCTGGAGTAAACCCGGAGTATACATTCTATTTAAAGAGACTGTGTTCCGAGAATTTTTGCACACGCACTTGCTTGCTCGTGTACTCAGAGGAATTCCTTTGGCCTTTTACACACACACACACACACACAGACAGACAGACAGACACACACACACACACACACACACACACACACACACACACACCACTTTGTTCTGAACATTCAGGGTTCAATGGCACAAGGACAAAGCCAATGACCCCCTACCGGCAGCTTTAGAGATAGAGGCTTGCCCAATCTTTTAGGTGGGTTATGGGAGATACAAAGGCAGGTCCTCATGAAGGATGAACATTTTTTATCAGCCCAGCTCTTCTTTAAGCTTGCAATATTGGTTGTCAGCATGGTGCTTTCTACAGTGTTTGGGATTTATAACACACAGGGAATGCTGAATTCAGGATTTACCTTCAAAGTGAAGAACTTCTGTGGTGGTCAAGATTAGAGATGCATCTCATCCAACCCCTGGAATAAGTATTTGTGAATTTGGTGCTTTATTTTGGCTGTGCTTTATTTTGGCTATTTTACATTGCCCCCCTTCTGAATATTAGGGTGTTGAGAGTTTTTATGGTAGAGGAAGCAATACAGAGCATGGTGATCTCCTAGAGTTAAAATGTTAGGCTTCTTTGTCTCATCGCTAGGATATGAGCCACTGCCAGAGGAGGTAGTGGGGGGATCCTCGTCAGCAATTGATGTAAGCTTTTTATTACTATTTTAAAAATATTTACTTAACGTTATTTTATGTGCATTTGGTATAAAGGTGTCAGATTCCCTGGAACTGGAGTTATAGACAGTTGTGAGCTGTGAGGTGGGTGCTGGGAATTTAACCCCGAGTCCTCTGGGAGAGCAGTCAGTACTCTTAAACACTGAGCCATCTCTTCAGCCCAGCTTTTTATAACTCTTGAATACTTTGTGGAATATCACCCCCATGTAGCTATTTGCTCTGTTCATTGAACGATTGTATTTCCTTGTTGTTGTGTTTAATTTTTTGGCAGAAAATGGATATATTAAAACAAATGATGTTAGAAAACCTGGTTATTTGCCTCTTCCCAAACTCTTAAGTTTGCATATCTAGGCCTACAACATGTCTCTGTGCCTGGGTTGACTAAAAAGTTTCCATACCCCAATATTAAGCCTTTCCACCTATGTAGTAATCCAAATCAAACCAGAGTAAGAAAAAGTCCAGGTTTAAGGAGTAAAATGCTCCTGGGTGACTTTCCTGCCCCAGAGAGGAGACAGAGAGAAGAACTAATGGGCCAAGCAGTGATTTAATCAATATGGTTTCTGTGTGATTATTTCGGTTCTGAGTAGCCAGGACAAAGAAGTGGCCTCCTTACAACAGAACACAAGATTAGAAAAGATTTTATGTTAGCCTCAATTGAGTACAGTTGAATTAATATAAAGCTCATGCAAGCATACAGAATGGTTGAGATGCATACATACTTTTTCCATATATAAAATGCTAAAAGTAATGCAAGAAATTATAGTTCCAAATATCAGCACACATACATCCTGTATGGAAAGAGAATTTTGGACCAAAGGATAAGGATGGACTCTTTGAGAGTCTGTGCTGTTAAGCTTCTTGATGCAGAGGATGAGCATGTAGAATTAATGTGAATATCTCCATCGCTAAATACATTTGCAAGACTGAAGAGATGACTTAGAAGTTTAGAACACTTGTTATTCTTATAGAGGACCTGGCATTGATTCCACACATCTGCATGATGGTTCACAATCATCTTAGCTCCAGGATTTCCATCACCTTAATATCACGGGCACCAGGTACTCACATGGTTGCGCATATATACATGTAGAGAAAATGTTCATATACATATAACAAAATAATCTAAGTACATTTGAAGCCAGGTATGGTTACATGCACTACACTTCTATCGGCTTAATAAACTGAGTCAGGGAGACTGGGTGGACCCCAAGTTTGAAACCAACCTGAACGACATGTTGAAACTATGTCTCAATAAAATAACAGAAAGTACATTTGAAAAATTCCTGTATGTCCTTTCATAACTAATGTCTTCACGCATAATAACTGTGGACTACTGCCTGTACAGTTTACTTCTTAAAACCAATATTAAAAAGTTATTTATCTATGAAAGGAGTGTTAGTTACATGGCTCAAGGTGTAAAGTTGTCACCAATACTGACAGGTTGAGTCTAATCACCTATACTTATGTGGTGGAAGGAAAGAACTGACTTCTAATTGTCTTCCAACATCTATATGTGTATGATAGCACATGAAGGTATGCTTTTACACACACACACTCAATAAACAAAATTTTTTAATTATAGATACTTAATGTTGGAAATATGTTGGGAAAAATGGTCAACATTATTTACCAACAAGGAAATTCAAGCCAAAGCTATGTTGAGATTCCATTTCATCCTTGTTACAATGGCTATTATTTTAAAATGTAATAATAAGAAATGCTAACCAAGATATAGGGGAAAGGAACAATTATATATAGTTAGTGAAAATGTAAACTAGTACAGGCATTTTGCAAATGAAGTAGGGCAGTTGATCAATAAAAAAATACTCAAAATTAAACCATCCATCAAACCAGAAATAGTCCTCTTTGCTATGTAAGGGAGAGAATTTAAACATACATAAGAAATGTATGCATTTGTGTTTGTTGTAACACTGCTCAAAAAATAGCTAAGGTGCGGGTATCATCCTTGATTTCATCAACATATAAGCAAATAAAGAGAATATGGTGCATTACTATACTATATATGTATAGACAGATAGAGACATGTATGTATCCATCCATACATACAATTGTATGTACGCAATACAATTGTACTGACAATTATTTGCCTATAAAGAAGGGCGAATTCTTTTAAAAATGGATGATACTATGATGTCTCTAAGTGAAATCATCCAGACAAAGGCAACTATCATGTTCTTTTATTCGTATGTGGAAAATACAATGCAGGAACAAAACAACAAAATTCCACCATAGTGTTAGAGAGACTGTTAGAGGACACAGGGATGTCTCGTGGAAGGAAGAAAAGATGACTGAATAAAGCAGTGGCTAGAAGGGTAGAAATGATGACAGCACAGTGTATCATAATGAAATCCATTAATATGTACAATAAATGTTGTTAATTTTACTAAATATATTTTGAATGCTTTCTTGTTAGTTTCTTATTTTTGTTCTGTCTGGCCTAGAAGTTGCTAGGGAGACTAAATGGACCTCAAATTTGTTTGAATTCCCCAGCTTCAAATCCTCAGGGTTGGAATTAATTTTATTAAATATTTTAAAGTAGAACTGAAATCCAAACCAAAAAATCTCAGTAGTCTAGGCTTTGAAATCACAAGGCAAAGAAACAAGAGCAGCTGAACATTCCACCTCAGAGCCAGTCTAGGCTATGTTACCTTTACATGGAAACTTCTTCAATGTAGCAGGCCACACTGGTACTTCACTTTGCCCATACATTTCCTTTTTATTCATGTCCCATTATTTTGATTTGTTTAAAATCTTGTGAGAGATAACACTGTTCTGTGTTATTGAGTGACTCCTTGTGCAATTCTTTTCACTCTAACCTAAGTTCCCACATCTTTCCTTAACCTATTTTCTTCACTCCTACAATTCCTCCTTGTATCCCTCTCTTTTACTTTGTATTTAGCAACTAATATTAACCACTAATCACACTGCAGTCTTTTTATTTTCTTCACAATAATTAAATCACTAATACAAAAATACTGCTGGGTGGCCCTTTACTATTCTCAAAAACTAGTACTTAAGTAATGACTGTGCTGTGGCCATCTGACACTTCATTTTCACAGTGAAATTACCATTTTATACAGACTGTAGTTGCAGCCAGGATTCAACTACAGTGAAATAGCAAACTATTGTTTGATGAATAGATTTACTGAAGACATCAATAAATTATTCAACTGAAAGAAAATTAGCATTCAACATATGAAAAGCCTATTAATTTCAATGAAGGCAGACCTAACAGGAAAATTTATAGCCCTAAGAGACAACATTAAACATCCAAACATTGGCAGGAGAGGGCTTAGTGATTAAGAACTGAGGGAATCTGAGTTTAATTCCCAGCACCCATGTAACTGCAGATCAAAGGGTTCCAATGCCACTTCTTGCCTCCTTAGCCACTCACACATATGCTCCTAAGTTTCACAAAACACACGCATACATATACAAAGACAAACAGTGTAACGGTACACTTTGAGGTATAGGAAAAAGAAGATCTCAAACTGCCAGTCACTAAATGGAAAGAAATTATGAAAACAAGGCAGTACTAAACCAAACAAGAAATGAAAAAACGAATCAGGGAAACAGAGTTCGCTGATTAAAAGATAAACAAGTTGAACAAACCATTAGCCAAACTGATGAAAAAAGCGGACATAAATGAATACAGTTAAAGGAAATGAAGACATTGCAATAAACAACAGGAAATTCTGAAAATCAGGACAATAGTTTTTAAAAGTTTATATTGTACTAAACAGGAAAAATGACAAGAAATAGACAAATTTGTTGGCATATAGGACCTACTAGA